TTAGGGAGTATCAAGCGACACCGTTTTGTGCACATCATACAAATAAAAGGCGACAGCCCAAGAAACATAGCCGTTAGAGAATCCCATGTACATGCTCAGACACAAACCCATCCACCTCTTCAAACGCGTTCCCTCCTCTCTTCCATTTTGCTCATTCTCTACTTCTAACTACCTTAACTGTCAGCTTGACTCTTTCCTCTCCAACCAAAATTCAAATCTCCAATATCTCTCTCAATCCCATGCTCTCATTGTCACTTCTGGAAACTCAAACAACATCTTCATAGCCGCAAAGCTAATCTCTCTCTATGCGTCTCTCAGCAAACCCATTTTTTCCACCAAAGTGTTTGGTTCAGTTTGTCCCAAAGACACCTTTCTTTGGAACTCCATAATCAAAACCCATTTCTCCAATGGCGATTACTCAAAAGCCCTTGATTTCTTTTTCCAAATGCGAGCTTTGGGTTTCGCTCCTACCCAATTTACTCTTCCAATGGTCGTTGCCTCCTGCGCCGAGTTAATGTTGCTAGAACATGGCAACAATGTTCATGGGTTGGCTTCGAAACTCGGGCTTTTCTCAGGTAATTCGGCAGTTGGGTCTTCGTTTGTGTATATGTATTCAAAGTGTGGTCGAATGGAGGATGCATATTTTATGTTTGAGGAAACTACTGTGAGAGATGTGGTTTGTTGGACCGCGCTTATAATCGGATATGTGCAGAATTATGAGAGTGAGAAGGGTTTGGAGTGTCTTTGTGAGATGCATAGGGTTGGTGGCTTTGATGAGAGGCCAAATTTTAGAACATTGGAAGTTGGGCTTCAAGCTTGTGGGGATCTTGGTGCTTTGGTAGAAGGTAGATGCTTGCACGGTTTTGTAGTAAAAAGTGGAATTGGGTGTTCTGAACCTGTTAAGTCTTTGCTTTTGTCCATGTATTCCAGATGTGGGGCACCTGGTGAATCTTATCTTTCGTTTTGTGAAGTAAAAGATAAAGATCTTCTATCATGGACTTCCGTTATTGGTGTTTATGCCAGATCAGGTTTAATGGATGAATGCTTAAGTTTGTTCCAGGGAATGCAGGACAGTGATATTTTCCCAGATGAAATTGTGGTCAGTTGCATGCTTTCAGGTTTTAAAAATTCCACAACTATCAACAAAGGAAAGGCCTTCCTAGGATCAGTCATAAGGAAAAACTACGCATTGAGTCAGATGGTTCATAGTGCACTATTATCCATGTACTGCAAGTTTGAGTTATTGACTCTTGCAGAGAAGCTCTTTTTGGCAATGCAGCATCAAAACAAAGAGTCTTGTAATACTATGATTTGTGGCTACGCTAAGATGGGACTGCATGTAAAATGTATAGAACTGTTTAGGAAGATGCAACATCTAGGCATTCAAGCTGATTCTAATAGCTTGGTCTCTGTGATTTGTTCGTGTTTCCAGTTGGGAGCAATCCATCTTGGCCGATCACTTCATTGCTACCTAAT